CTCAGCAAACTGACTCTTACAATTGAGCATCAAGCTAAAAACCATAGAAACACATCGCAGCAAAGACAGGTTACTTCATCTCCGGGTTGCCGTCACTTTCACTCCAAGTATCCGGGATCATTTCAGCCTTTACACAAAAAGTGTCTTGATCAAATCAAGAGGAACACAAGAAAAAAAAGCTTGTTGCTGGCAATGATTTTCACCTCGACAATGGGCATCCCTTGTGTTCACAAGCTAAAAGAAATCGAGAACAGTAAGCGTGCATTGGGGCAGAAACGTTTTCAAGGAGCAATGGCATCTGGATTGACGACGTGACGTAACGGTATGGCAGTTAATTTACTGTGTTGTGTATCTGACTAACGCTGACTGATAAGGTTTTATTTTTTGATAGGAATCAAGCGGTGAAGTTAGAGGCGATCAACGTAAAATATAATATCTTGAAAAGAAGTTAAGAGGACTACTAGATGACCAAGTAAAGGTTCTCTTTGCTCAAAGTGACTTAACTGTTGGAAGGCCGCAGCACAGTGTTGGCCCCTAAGAAGATCCATTGTTTATACACTGAAACTCGTAATCCGTCCCCCTGGCTCCCGTAACCGCTTCCAAAAGCAGCACAAAACGAGACTTGTCCAGAGTTCGAGGCATGAAGTTGAAAAGGCAGATTATCAACACCAAAGGAAATGTGGGTGCTGCTGTCAACCAGGCCACTACAAACGAACTTGCTAGTTTCAGGAAAGTAATAAGAGGGTTGAGGACTAATATACATACTTTTATGGCAAATCCATAACACCTTAATGTTGATCAGTTATCGATTGTCTTACTTTCTTCTACCGACTGTATGTATTTTTTGCGGGAGACACGGTCCAGACAAAATGGACTCCGCCACTAGCCAGTGACGCGTTGACCTGCAATGCGGTTAACCAACGCACTGGTCGGCATGTGTAATAATCACCACAGCATCCACCGAGGTGTTTTCCGTTCGCTAACATCGTGTCGAGCTGCACAGCACCCACATTCAAAAAGAGAAAACTATGGTCAGCCGCTGTGTTGCAATCCGGACACTCGTCTGTACCTCCTCTTGTTCTACCTTATTGGCCTGCACGATCGTTAGTGGCAAGTCTTCTATATATAAAGGAAACCACGACGGCTCCGGAATATCTTCTTATGGACTCTTGGCCATTACCGACGACAATCTCTTCCCGGTCACAAAAAATTGCGCTTGATACATCGCGGCTTTGACCTTTTTCCTATGTGGGTGCCAGCGCTACAGCAGCGCGAAGATGTCGCCCATGGCGAAGTGGCCAGAGAAAGTAATCGTCTTTGTCTAACGGCGATTGTGCGTACCTGTTTAAGATTTTGAAGGAAGGGTGTGAATTTAAGGAAAATGGGTGTGAATTGAGCAATTCCCTTATATGGAATAATTAACAAGCGTACTACTCCAAATTTCCTTGACAGATGATGAACTTTCCTTGGAAGCTTCAAGGAGAGTAATTATAATTTAAAGGCTGAATGAATACCACCTGTCAGATGGAATTGCCTTAATGCCAGAATTTAGGAATGTTGCCCTTTGTTCAAAGATATTATTGAGACCATGCAAGATTTTTGGGAATGCATTATCTACTAAATACTTCATTAAGTTCCTTCAGTGGATAGTCATCTTGGCCAAAGCAGCGCAATGCAAATACTGCCCAGCATCGAAATTACGGCGAAATGGTGCAGCAAATGAAGAATTTATGGACACTTTAATGCCTCATTTCGGGCTATAATCGCTCATCCATGAGACCTAAGATGCTTTTAGCCTAACGATTAAATGTGTAATTAAGTAATAGTGTAATTTGGCAACTGATGATTTGTGGAGCACGGTGGAGCTTTTTAACAACATGGATGGCACTAATAAGATATCACATTTGATCATTTTTGTCTTTATTGACAGCGCTCACTACATAGAGAAGATGAAGCTGCGAAATTCTACAAACAGCTTGCCCAAGGTGCAAAGACTGAGCCGAAAAAAATCAAGAAAAGTAATATTCGGCATTGTAATTCTTCGTGAAATAAATACAACGCTGTCCACAAACACGCTATTCATTTAAAAAGGCTATGTCATAATACCTCAAGAAACTTCTCAATTTGAGGGTGATCAGCATACATCAAATGTATGTGTTGTGTATTCGCGATAGAATCTTTTTACGTTTATGGCGAAGATTGTCTGGAAACGTTTAAATCATATATTTAATTATGTAATTAAACTTTTGAATTGGAGTCCATGAGTGTAGAAGGGGACGTAGTATGGCGGCACTTATTACAATTAACAAAGCCTGCACTGGCCCATATTTTAGTGCTCCACCCATCTTTGGGTCTGCTCTATGTGGGATTTCAAGATGTGCACTGGCTCATTCTTGACTGTAAAAGTAAAAAATAATTATGTTAGGAATCAAACACTTTGACTTAATGCCGGAACATTAAATTACTTGTTTTATTTGGGGCCGAGCTCTTTATATCGATAACTGAAGACTCTAGGCGGACCCCTTAATTATCTTAAAGGTTAGTTTTTGCAGCACTATTTTCTTCCTTTTTTAGAAGAATGCTAAATCCATCACATATTATTACCCCGTCCCACCAATTTATTTGGCACGCCTCACCACTACGACATTTCTCCTGATTGCGATAGATGTTTGCTTATACATTAAATTCAGGGAGATTGGACTTAAAAAAGGATATTTCCATCACAACGCCAGTGTAAAACAGTCCGTACAACAAAACCGTTCACCGAATCCAACTTCAAACTCTCAGTGGGAGTGGCATGAGAGCCGTCGCAAAAAGTAGCAAAAATGTAAAGTTTTATTACTTCATTGAAGACCAAAGTACTAAAGAAAGTACATGACGAGATCGTTCGAATCATACCGTACCGTAAATTTTGTTGCTATTTGTCAAGGCTTCTTAATTGTTGAATGCTATATTCGTGCTCAGCTCCATGCTGTAACATTTTCGTTAAAGCTGATGTGTTATTTATTTTGCCAAACGAGCCGCTTTATTCCGGATATCTGTTCATTTCATGATCAAATTAAGACTGCGAGAAGAACATTAATCACTCCTCGCGTTTTAAGAGCAATGCGCTGATTTACGGTGTAGCGTGATACTATTGATGTGGGGGTAGATTTAGTCAAAGGGTGTGATAAACGCTCCCTTTTTGGATGCGTCTACCCATCCATTTACAGTCAATGTAAGACTTTATGAAAAAATTGGACTTATTGCCGCAAGGCTTTTACTCACTAATTTGATTGATGAAATCATGCCCTTTCTTTCCTCTCTATGTACAGGAAGGCTGTCACCACGCCCATTTGGTCCAGTAACCAGTACAAGTACTTGGCGATCGCTATTACCATGCACAGTGTCACGTACTTGACCACGGGCGACAACGTACTCGTGAAGTCGATGCCTTACTTCTGCTTGACGTCTTTAGCCACAGGTCTCGCCTTGTATTTCTCGATCGATCCATCGGCCTTGCGCTTGATCTTGAATACCCTAATGGGGTGCCAGTGGTGTGTTTTCCAGCTGGCAACTTTGTCGCTTGAAACACGCCGCAAAGTTTAATCGAGTCCAACTCGGTATTTGACGCTTTACGCCAATGCACTTGATCCGATCGTCCTACAGCATCTTTGAATGTCGTCAGATCGATAAAGTTTGCAGATCTTTCAAGTGCGTTGGCAATCGCTAGCCAAAAGACTTAATGTGTGGCGTCATCATTATTTAATCGCCATCTTTCCGTTCTTCGTCAAAGTTGGTTTGAGTGCTTGATAGTCGTTTTGCTTGGTGCGATTGAAGGTTCTCCGGTGCACTTGCTTCTTCCAACCCGGAACCGCGACGAGCGGAAAGAGTCCATTAAAAAGCTTGTTCTTAATTTTTTTTTAACAATCCTTGCGTTTTGGGTTTGCTTAAACTGCATAGGGCGTGGCTCATCACTAATTCTCATTAAGTCAAAGTCCAGTGCAGAGTCATCCAAATTTTCTTGCGGCCTTGTTGGTAAAGGCACAAACCCGGACTCGTTGGAGGTAGCGTCATGCGATATCATCACTCGGTCCGCTTAAATGTCGTAGATACGTGATGCCTAAGACACTTCTTCGTACCCCAAGAAATGTCCTTCACGAGCCTTCGGATCCCATTTCGACCGCTTTTCTATAGAAGACAGCACAAATACTTGGCAGCCGAACACTCGCGATTGCTTTTTACTCGGACGAAATTCGTTGACGATCTTGAACGGGGTTTTATCTTAGTATTTGGGCGAAGGCAGACGATTCTCGATGTGGATCGCCTTCATTGCTGCTTCGGCTTAAAAACACTTATCCATCGTGGTGTGTTGAATCATGCTGTGGCCGATCGTCACGATAGTTTTAAATTGCCCGTTCCGCTGTACCATTGATCTGGTGCGCATACGGAACGTTAACCTGCTGCTCGATTCCTTGATCGTCGTAGAATGTCTTGAGCAAAGCTGTTAAGAACTTACGTACACCGTCATGTCGAATGAATTTGACCTTGTATTTGAACTGTGTCTGTACTGCAGCGATGTAATATTTGATGTACTCTTCGCTGTCAGATTTGGCACGCAGGCTGAAACCCTTCATACACCCACTGCCTTCATCCACGATCAGAAGTAAGTATTTGCATCCACCCAGGGAGTCGAAATTCATCGGTCCACAAGTGTCGATGTGCAGGAGCTTAAACGGGTCATAGTGAAGCTTGTTTGGATTTCTTGGAAATGGTCGTTGTACCATCAATCCATCCTGACAACCGCTACACATGTTTGATCCATCAGGTGACGATGGCATCTCTACGTCCTTGATCATGCCCCTGGAGATGAAACTACGCGAGACATCGAGTGGTGCATGGCCCATTCGCGGACGTAGATTTTTAAATTTCAGTCGCGAAGAAGCGTTCGAAGATCGCTGTTGGTATGTGCGAAGCCAGTAGAATTACTCCATTACAACCGCAATCGCCACCACTTGCTTTTAATTTGTACACGAAATCTTTATCTCATCTCCATCAAACACCACTTGGAACTTGCCGATTTTGTTTATCCGGGGTATCGACAGCAGGTTCTTGTTCATGCCCGGGACATAAAGTGCGTCCTTGATTTTAACTTCGCGCTCTTCACCATTTGATAGGACCACCTTTTCGAGGATAATCCCAACTTCATTGATCGAAGCCTTGTTTTCGTCTTCAACCAGCACTTCGCCTTCACTGCGCTCTTCCAGAACTTCAAACTTGAACTTGTTATAGCAGATGTGGTGCGTTGCACCGCTGTCAATCGCCCACATACCCACCATGGTCTTGGTTGTCGAAAGTTCGTATTCTAGTAAAACAGAAAACGCCACTCGATCATGATCGTAGTTGTCGCCGTTGGTGTTGTAGCCTTGTCATTGGACTTGATTTTTTTCGCGTCCACAAGCATTGTTTCCGCCATATCGAGCTCCTCGGTTGTCTTCCTTTCGCTTGGTCCAGCAAGTTTCCACCATGTCCCCCAATTTTCCGCAGAACGTACATTGACAGGATTCACGCTCGTTGCTGGAGGCTTTGGTCGCTTCTTCAGTCTCCACCGATGTCATCTTGTTTCCTTGTCTCTTGAAGGGCTCATTTGCGAGTACTTTCACAACGTCTTGCGACCGCAGCTCCGCGCTGATGATCTCCAAGTTGATAACAACGTGTCCATAGCTCTTGGAGAGACTGCGTGTCCATAGCTCTTGGAGAGACTGCGCAATAGGCAGCTCGCCACGTCATCTTCCTCCATCTTAGCGCCGATGCTGCTGAGCTTGTCACTGATGCTGAGAACGTTTTTGCAATGATGCATCACATTGCCGCCTTCCTCCATCTCCACACTGAACATCTGTCTCTTCAAGAGGATCCGTCTTGCCTTCTAAGATCCGCCGTAGAGAGTCTTCAACCGCGCCCACGCAACCCATGCTTCTTCGCACTCATCAGCTACGTGATGGTAATACGCGCACGTATGCAGCAGCATCAAGCCGAACGCAATGTTATCGTCTTGACATACTCGTCACCGGCGCAAGGATTGGCGATGGTGGGGGTGGTCTCCCTGTTTGACCACGTGCCACGTCGACTTGGTCAGGAACACGCCACGCATGTAGCGGGTCCACGTCGCGTAGTTATCGCCATCGAATTTGTTGATGCAGATCTTGGTGGCGGAAGTTTAAGCAGAGGACATCGTGCTTTGGCTTATAAACATCTAAAGGTGTCGATCACTTGGTAAGAGAATAGAAGCTTGAAGAAACGATAGAAGTATGTACTGCTAAGTGTAGACGACTTTCGAAGGAGATGGAATAATTGGATGTGAATTTATATGTGGGTTTGTTGAAGCTACCTGTGATGTGTGTCCTAATTTATATGTTGTGTACACATAAATCATAAATCATAAACTATGCAAGTCATTCAATCATCCTATACATCTAATCATTGGTAAGAACTCACCGTAATTACGCAAGATCGACTTGGACAGGTTTTGCGGTTTCCACGGTGACTGAGAATAGTACATCAACTGTCAACCTACCCTAATGGGCATGCAAGACGCTATTACATTAAAAATTTTTTTTTGCATAACTCATTGCCAGTCCCCACCGACCACCCTAAATGGTGCTTGAATTTGAAACTTGATTTGATCTTTAAATTCGATTAAACAAATTGAAGGGCGATTCTCAGAGGCTCCATTCCCATATCATTAATAAACTATGATTAGGTGCTGTTGAATGGAATAGATTATTTTCCATCCAAATAGGGTATCGTCACGACTCGCTCACATTTTGTCTTACGGTTTGACTACCAATTTAACTGAAGAGTAGTTATACTTCCATGTATAGCTATCTAAACTAGGTCCATTTAATCTGCTTACGACTTTTGTTGTACCCCTACCAAAACAAAAAAGCTCAAAATTAGGACTCGTACGCAGGCATTTAGGCTCAAAATCATCCTGCTGCACAAGTCCTAGCCGTTGCTGAATAGTCATGCCGTTCCTAGCCTGGCCCAAGTTGCACGCCGGTGACGTAGGCGAGATGGTTCCGCATTAGTCTGTTCAAAAGAAAGCTTTATTTTTTCGATGATTTGATAAGTATGTGGCAGCGACAGAGTCCACTGCAGTGAGATATCGTAAGTTGCGATCGGTAATTCACTGATGAGGCCCGCGAAGGCGGGCCGAATCGCTTGCGACGCGCGTCCGCAAGGATATTCGATTCAACGTGCTCCTAGGTTTTACATTTGTGCCACTTATAGTTCATGTACCTTTTTACGTCTGTCCATATAGACAGCAGCAAAGCAATTAGACCATGCAATCCAACGCCACTGCATTCTCGGTACTGACTCGAAAACCACGGACTGCATTAAGGCGTAAATGTTTCGTTTTAATCTGCAGAGTTCAAATTACTGCCTTATCAAACCCCAACACCGAAGCTCGCGATCGATCTCCCGGCCACACATGCACTCGTACTATACGACGATTCTCGTCACTCATCGACATAAATATTCTTAGGATTTTTTTATGCATTCGTCGCTCGTGCCGATACCTTTTAAGGTAGCACGGCTTGTTCATGTCGACAGCCTTTTACGGCGTGTTGATACTTTGCACAGTGATAATTCCACTGATGTATGCGTATGAAGATATTTGTATGTCGTTTTAAAGAAAAAGGGGAATGTTAAATGCAATTCCTTTGTAGTTTGATTCGTTTTCTTTTTCAAATGAGTAAGCATTTGTAACCGTAAATATTCACTGGAAATATAAGGTGCGAACAATAATTGCTTTCTCTCTCACTACCCGGCAAGATAAACCAATTTAAAGTTTATATCGCACCGAACGGTGCCTTAAGTCTTTGTTTACGCCTAAGTCAATGATGTTCAAGATGGTGGTGATGCCGATGGGGTCACTAGCGTGAATCTTCGCTTAGGATTAAGTTTATCTTGCACAAAATATTTTGAATAAACAGAAAAAAACAGATGACACGTAAAAAATATGAATAAGAAGACAAAACACTGGTGATGGAGATTATTGCGTTTGTTATATAGTGCATTCGACTTAACAAGTTAATGAGCATACAAATACCTAAAAAGGTAGAGGATGATACAAGAATTTTATAGGCATCACGCGAAAGTAAATATTGCCATACTATTGCTGTCCGCCTTCACAAGTAGATAGAAAATGATTATAGTTTTAGCATTTATGTGTACACGCCTTCCGCGCGCACGTCCATCGTAAATACTAGGGAGTTAATGTGGCGGTTGCCTGCTAACTGAAAGATCTGTTGCGTCGTTTTTGGACGTGATTTAAACTATTCACGGATATCACCAGTTATGTTGATATGCACTGTACTTAATGAAATTTGACGGTTACGTACGAGAAGATTAGTGCGTTCTATGAGGTGTTTTGCAGATTGTTGCGTTCCACAATCGCATCTCTCCTCTCCCACACTTAATATTACTTTACACGCTGTAAAAATTTTCTTTCGCAATTTGTGGAACGTTTGGACAACCATTCGCTCTTTCTCCCTCATCGTTGCTTGCGCTATTTCATCGACGTATAGACTTCAAACAGCATAAACTGCAGAATATATAGAAATGTGAAGAAGGATCTGAGCATGTGACGGACTTGTGACAGATAGGCATTTAGGGTGGATACATACTGCTTGATAACTTCTATTTTTAGCGATATGGTACCATGTTACATGGTACAATCATTTCTTGGATACCAAATAGGTTTGGTGGAGACAAATTGTATAAGTAAGCCGAATTTTAAATACATAAATTTCCGATTTGCTTTTTTGTAATACATCGGTAAATTTAAGTTTCTTAAGTCAAATAACAAGGTCCCGAAAAACGTCACCAATGCACGAAGGCTTATAATCTGTCAGCACAAGGCTTCTAATATTAAAAGGAGCCAAAGCGCTCTATTAAATTAAGATTTCGAAAAAAATTAATTTCAGGTTATCCAGGACTAAATATACAGGGAATGCTAAATTCTCACCCCTTTTCGTTAGATTCACACCCTTCCTTCAAAATCTTATATATAAAATCCCTATTCTTTTAAGAAACGTTTTCTGACAAAGGTATTACTTGATTTTTTAGGCTACTAACTGGCAAGTAATACGTAAGAAATACCTAAGATACTACTCACGCCTGTGGTCTAGCTCCTCCAGCGTTTACTTATAGGGCACCACTCAATAACATGCTTCCTTCTCCCGAATTTGAGTCTGCCAGTCTGGAGCGACTTGTGGATACTGTGCAGACGTTCGCACGTGGCCAAGGTTATGCTGCTACAGTTTCTGGTTTGATTGCAGGAAAGTGTGTCTACCTTAAATGTGCTTGAGGTGCCGTAAACGTACAAAAGGTTGGAAAAGAGTGCAAACGCCAGACCATCTCACGCCGAATTGATTAACCGTTCCTTCTAAGTGGAAATTTCTCAATAAAGGGTAATTGGAAGTTAAACATGATGAATAAATGCCACAATCACGAGCCGTCACTCCATCCGTCTGTTCATTCGACTCATAGAAAGTTAAAAAGCGAGCAGGCCGATACTGTCAGCGATATGGAATTGGCTGGTGTTAAACTGCTAAAGATTCTTTCATCCCTTCTTATGGAGAATGACGGTGCCCTAGCAAACCTCTTTACATTGTACAATCAGCGTACGAAACTTCGAAAGGACAAGTTAAATAGAAGGACACCGATACAAGCTCTTTTTGATGATTTGCAAGCAAGCAATTTTACGCACTTTCACAAATGTGATGATGATGGAGCAATAACCTCCCTTTTTTTCGCTCACAAAGACAAAGTTCGGCTTGCTTGCCGATACCACCATGTCGTGCCAATAGACGGCTCTTACAAGACAAGCAAGTACCGACTCCCCTTACTTCACATTGTTGGTATGACAAGCTTCAATAGCCAATTTTTGGTTGGCTTCTGCTTTCTTAAAGAAGAGAAGCAAAACGAGTACATGTGGGCATTATCAAAACTTGCAGCCATCTTGACACCGAAGACACGCCCAGCCGTGTTTGTGACAGACCGTGAACTGTCGCTGATAGCAGCTACTGATAAAATATTCCCATCTTCATCACACATGCTGTGCACATGGCACATCAACAAAACATCATGTCCAAATGCAAACGACAATTTGAGACGAGCAATCAATCGAATTTGTTTCTTCAGCAGTGGAATAATCTGGTGGCTCCTAACACGGAAGTGAAATTCGAAAACAGTGGAAAGAGCTATCAAATTCTTTTGACAGTAAGTCTAAAGCTCTTTAATACCTCTCGCATACGTGGCTTATATACAAGGATCGCTTTGTAAATGCCTGAACGTCGATGTATCTCCATTTTGGCAAAAAGCTACATCACGAGTCGAAGGCGCCCATGCGTACGTAAAAAAAATCTGCAAGTACTAACAGGGGACTTGCTGTCGGTGCTCAGCAAACTGACTCTTACAATTGAGCATCAAGCTAAAACCATAGAAACACATCGCAGCAAAGACAGGTTACTTCATCTAACCGGGTTGCCGTCAACTTTCACTCCAGTATCCGGGATCATTTCAGCCTTTGCACACAAAAAGTGTCTTGATCAAATCAAGAGGAACACAGAAGAAAAAGCTTGTTGCGCAATGATTTTCACCTCGACAATGGGCATCCCTTGTGTTCACAAGCTAAAAGAAATCGAGAACAGTAAGCGTGCATTGGGCATAAACGATTTTCATGAGCAATGGCATCTGGATTGACGACGTGACGTAACGGTATGGCAGTTAATTTATAGTGTGTGTATCTGACTAACGCTGACTGATAAGGTTTTATTTTTTGATAGGAATCAAGCGGTGAAGTTAAGGCGATCAACGTAAAATATAATATGCTTGAAAAGAAGTTAAGAGGACTACTAGATGACCAAGTAAAGGTTCTCTTTGCCCAAGTGACTTAACTGTTGGAAGGCCGCAGCACAGTGGTGAAGCTGAAAGATCCGATGGTATACACTGAAACTCGTAATCGTCCCCCCTGGCTCCCGTAACCTTCCAAAAAGCAGCACAAAACGAGACTTGTCCAAGTTCGAGCATGTTGAAAAGGCAGATTATCAACACCAAAGGAAATGTGGGTGCTGCTGTCAACCAGGCCACTACAAACGAACTTGCTAGTTTCGAAAGTAATAAGAGGTTGAGGACTAATATACATACTTTTATGGCAAATCATAACACCTTAATGTTGATCAGTTATCGATTGTCTTACTTTCTTCTACCGTGTATGTATTTTTTACGCTTGAACACGGTGGAGCAAAATGGACTCCGCCACTAGCCAAGTGCACGCGTTGACCTGCAATGCGGTTAACCAGCACTTTGTCCGGCATGTTAATAATCACCACAGCATCCACCGAGGTGTTTTCCTTTGTCAACATCTCGTCGAGCTGCACAGCACCACATTCAAAAAGAGAAAACTATGGTCAGCCGCTGTGTTGCAATCCGGACACTCGTCTGTACCTCCTCTTGTTCTCACCTTATTGGCCTGCACGATCGTTCGTGGAAAGTCTTCTATATAAAGCCACGACGGCATTCCGAAATCTTGATGGAGTCCTTAATATTACCGACGACAATCTCTTCGGTCACAAGTGCGCTTGACTACATCGCGGCTTTGACCTTTTTGCCTATGTGGGTGCCAGCAGCTACAGCAGCGCGCAAGATGTCGCCCGTAGCCAAGTGGCAGAGAAAGTAATCGTCTTTGTCTAACGGCGATTGCGTACCTTGTATATATAAGATTTTGAAGGAAGGGTGTGAATTTAAGGAAAATGGGTGTGAATTTAGCAATTCCCTATATATGGAATAATTAACAAGCGTACTACTCCAAATTTATGACAGATGATGAACTTTCCGCTGGAAGCTCGAGAGGTAATTATAATTTAAGGCTGAATGAATACCTGTCAGATGGGTGCTATAATGCCAGGTTAGGAATGTTGCCCTTTGTTCAAGATATTATTGAGGCCAATAACAGATTTTTGGGAATGCATTATCCTACCTAAATACTTCATTAAGTTCTTCAGTGGATAGTCGCCAGCTAAAGCAGCGCAACAATCTGCCCAGCATCGAAATTCACGGCGAGAGTAATTTAGCAAATGAAGAATTTATGGATGCTTTAATGCCTCAATTTTGGGCTGTAATCGCTCGTCATGAGACCTAAGATGCTTTTAGCCTAACGATTAAATGTGTAATTAGTAATAGTCGTTGCTTAAACTGATGATTTACAATAACGAACATAATTTGGGCTTTTTAACAACATGGATGGCACTAATAGATATCACATTTGATCTGTTTGTCTTTGTTGACAACGCTCGCTACACTTAGAGAAGATGAAGCTGCCGAAATTCTACATCACGACAATATATGGTTATAAAGACGGGCAAAAAAATCGAGAAAAGTAATAATTCAGCAGTGAATTCTTCATGCTCATGCAACGCTGTCCACAACACGCTATTCATTTAAAAGGCTATGTCATAATACCTCAAGCACAATTTGAGGGTGATCAGCATACATCAAATGTGTTGTGTATTCGCGATAGTCTTTTTACACGTTTATGTGAAAGATTGTCTGGAAACGTTTAAATCATATATTTAGTGTCGTCGTCGAAACTTTTTGAATTGGTCCACTTAGTGGCAAGAAAGACGTGAAGTATGGCGGCACTTATTACAATTAACAAGCCTGCACTAGCCCATATTTTTAGTGCTCCCACCCATCTTTGGGTCTGCTCTATGTGGGATTTCAGATATTACTGGCTCATTCTTGACTGTAAAAGTAAAAAATAATTATATTTAGGAATCAAACACTTTGACAATGCGGAACATTAGAAATTACTTGATTTTTGTTTGGGGCGAAGGCTCTTTATCGATAACTGAAGACTCTAGGCGGACCCCTTAATTATCTTAAAAAGGTTGGATTTTTGCAGCACTATTTTCTTCCTTTTAGAAGAATACTAAATCCATCACATATTGTTACTAAATCCACCAATTTATTTGGCACGCCTCACCACTACGACATTTCTCCTGATTGCGATAGATGTTTGCTTATATACATTAAATTAAAAATTGGACTTAAAAAAAGGATATTTCCATCACAACGCCAGTGTAAAACGGTCCGTACAACAAAACCGTTCACCAAATCCTTCAGCTCAGTGGGGGTAAGCGTGAAAATGTGCGTCGCAAAAGTAATTTAAAATGGCTAAAGTTTTATTACTTCATTACGACCAAAAGTACTAAAGAAAGTACATGACGAGATCGTTCGGAGTCATACCGTACCGTAAATTTTGTTGCTATTTGTCAAGGCTTCTTAATTGTTGAATGCTATATTCGTGCTCAGCTCCATGCTGTAACCTTTTTTTCGATTCAAAAAAGCTGATGTGTTATTTGGTACTTAAACGAGCCGCTTTATTCGGATATCTGTTCATTTCATGATCAAATTAAGACTGCGAGAAGAACAATCAATCACTCCTCGCGTTTTAAAGAGCAATGTGATTTACGGTGTAGCGTACCCAATGATGTGGGGTAGATTTAGTCAAAGGGTGTGATAAATTAAACGCTCCCTTTTTTGGATGCGTCTACCCATCCAATTTACGGTCAATGTAGACTTTGCTATAGAAAAAATTGGACTTATTGCTGCAAGGCTTTTACTCACTAATTTGATTGATGAAATCATTGTATTTTCTGACGACATCAGATACAGCCTTTTTACACATCCTGACATGCGTTTCCACGTAGTTACCTCAATGTGGCTAGGTACTCTAGGTACACTCAGATGACCCACTTTCCAACACTCCTTACTGTGCCTTGAGTCAGCAACAACACCTACACACGTTCGTCTTATAGCTACATTTGCTTGATCATGTCCTGCAATCTTTTGACCTTAAGTGCCGGTAGAGCCTTCGTAAGCGTATTAGTAATATTGTTCTATGTAGATACGTAGATAAGATCCAGTAGGTGTTTTGATTGCATATCTTGGACGAACTACAAATTTACGCCGACATGTTTGGCCTGTAAATTATTGATTTCATTAGCGACATGTTTAATAGCGGTCTGGCTGTCCATAAACGCCGTCATTGTCAGCACCACCGGTAGCTCAACTTTTAATCACGACTGTAGAATGCTGAAAATAATCTTGACACCATTTGCCGCCGCAATAAACACCGCCTACACAAATGGCAGTGCAACAGCTTCTTGGTTTTGGCTTGCTAAGGTACGGCGTACCATTTACTTATACTAATATCCCTCTTACCGACCTGTCAATGTCATCTCCTGAATAGTTGGCATCCGTAACGATCTCGATGCATTATTCTACGGTAGCACTGATTACAGGACGCATGTTCAATTTTAATTCCACGGTGCCGCTTAATAAACGCAATGCACGTATCGCTTATTTTTAAATTGAAACGGTTGGAGCGTGTGCATGACGGGTAGCACAATTTACCACATTGGCTATGTCAGGTCGCGTGCACTGGGCTTTATACAAAAGGCTGCCGACTATCGAATAAATTTACTAAGCAAACGGGTGCTCTAGGGACCCTGGCCCCTTAGCGGGCTACAACGTTGCTTATACTCGTGCAGCTCCAATATGATGAAATGAAAGCCTGAGATACTAGTCGAAAGATGATCATTACGGATGAATTAATAAGCGAAGACTAAAAATTATTTCGTCCACGGAGGAACAAGGAAACCCAGAGCATACACGATAGCAGTAGACATGGCGATGCGTTAAAAAATCTCCAGACAAGAAGCCAGCAGAAAAGGCAAGAAGTGATGTCCGAATAACGCGTGGTGGAAATAATTTTTAATGATGATCGCTTGGATCTCGATGGCAAGAAACACGAAAGGACAACTTACACAGTTCGGGTGATAAATATCATCATTGCCACGAGTTAAGGACACTCTAATCGATAAAAGTGAAGTTGCACAAAAGTATGAAGTGGCGATCGGATGAGGTTTCAAACTTGTCGATAAAAACTATGAACCCTGTCGATGGAAAATTTTACACGGTTTCCAACGCGCATTTCACAGCGTGCAAGTAATATTTTACGACGCTACATAGAATGGAAGACAGCAAGTGAAAGCTAATCATTTTTTCATTATCTCATGGCTCCGCTACTAAAGCCAAAAGATCTGGGACTATCGTGCGCGTGGTCAGGATTGACGAGCGAATGGTAATGTTGCTACTTGAAGATGTCCTATACGTTCCATGTGCCGAACGCAATCTTTTTTTACCTAGTTTTTATTTACTAGAGCTAGATTTTTAGATGAAGGTGAAGATTGATGCGTGAATAGGTGGCATGATGAAAGATGGAAAAGAGGTTATTCGAACGTTGTATGAAAACCACGTGTGGACAGTTTGGCTTATTACATCGGCCATGATGTGAAGAAGGTTAGTCCAACCAGCGCCGAAAAAGAATATTTGCAATCTTTGCTGTCACGGATGGCGTTGCAGACATTGACGTCTGGCAGGAAAAACTTGAGCATGCATTTTAGAGTGTATCAGGATGATTGGTGATCGTTTATTGTCGACATAAGTTGCTTTTCCTCGTAGTCGTTGTAGCCACCTTTTTAGTCGTCCACGTTTAGGAACCATCTTAACAGGGAATATTCCTCGACTTGTTTAATGTATAAGTGGCGCGGTAATTTTGACTGTGCGGATTGCGACATCGGATAAAAGCGAAGAAAGACGTTCTAGAAGCACTCAACTGAACATGACACGAGCGGATGATGTTTTGTTTATCCATTTTTTGCCGACCTTTCCATAGCTGGGGTTCATGATTTCCCCCCGTATTCTGCAGTTCCTGTTGTCGTGGTACTTGTGTAAGAACTCGTCCTACGTAAATACCTATCTGTCAATTATAAAGACGGAGAACGAAGTAAAATAGCAAATGAAGAGCTGCAGTTTGAGTATTATTGTCGTCGGGTAAAGCGAGCTCCTCAACATGAGCGCGTTTCCACATCACCCCAATTAGTCGATTTACGGCTATACCATATGTCTTGGGGTCATCAAATTTACGTAATCATGCGACTGCGCTTGTATTAGGGGTCAAAAGCGGCTATAGCTACACTGACAGTAATAGTAACAGGATTGTTGCTTTCAACTACCTCGTTTTGCCGTGTAAATTACGTCCGCGTGCGATTCGATCGTCAGATTGCACGTGGATGACACATCTTCGGTCCAGATACATCTCCAACCTTTTTGGTTATGATCGCCCTCGTTGTGGGCAGCTGACGTTTTGCACCATTACTGAATTCGACAGAACGGTGTTTACCCGAACTTTCCACGCAAGGTTTTCAAACTTGACACCTACTATGCTTACTAGCGTTTCGGTCAGCTGCGCGTTCGATTCCAGTGACAGTAATTCTATATTTTTTGCATGCCAGGTAAAGATTACTCTTTGGCTGTTTGATATATGAAGTTTTTACCGTTTCAATTAATCGTGTAAATCGACAATTTTGACTTTTAACCGCGCTTTTTGACAGAATTTGTTCCAGGGTCGCGGAAACAAAAAACGTCGATTCGAAAACCACAAGATCCATAATT